TCGTGATGTTCTTCCCACAGGTGCGTTTCGGGAAGATTAGTCAAAGAAATTGTTCCTGCTTTGACAATATTGTCCTTTTTAGGTTGGCTTATTTAAATAATTCTTTCTGATTTTACATTAACATCTCGAATTCCTTTAGGTGCCTTTGTCAGACCAGACTGTAGCATTTATATAGGTTCTTCTATTTTGTATCAGCTTCTGTCAAATTTCACTCCTTGCATCTAGGTTTTAGGTTTTGCATCCTTTTTTATAACTCGGGCGCACGATCTGGCCCACTCACATATATCGATATGCTCAGATACTTATTACATCTTATCCATAGGTTGTAGCACGTATTTACTGCCACCCTCTTTTCCCTAATTCTGCAAGAATCATCATTTCTGATTCAAACTATCTCAGGTACGACTTTCAGAACTCCTATACCTTACTCCTGTTAGCAGATAGTACTGGCTATCAGGGATTTTAGGTGTCCAAATAGATTATGTTTTTCTGTTCTTAAGCCATAGGCTAGTGGTCCCGCAAGACCAACACCCATCCTCATACTCAAAGGTATACGCCCATCGTATACCTCGCATGGTCGCATAGAGAGGGCCTCACATGTCACTCCCATACTATCTTATGCTTTAGTTATCACCAATAGGCCAACACCCCGCCACAACGTTTCGGTGGCCTCAAACCCCCCTTGGGCCAACGCATAGTTAGAGCCTCTCATGCCGCTTGCCAACTAGTAGGGACTCACCTGTCACTTTGTGCTATGATAATTTTTCGCCACTTTCCATCTAGCTAGCCAGCCAGTAGCAGGCCACATTGTCTCACTCATGGTAATTACAGTGTATGTATATATTTTCAGTATGTCTCAAGTTCCTGATATACCTCTGCAAGACCAACCAGAATTTTAAAGGATAAGCTGGGTAGGGACATCGTCTTCCTGGGCAAATCCCAAATATTCAACAATTTTAATGCGGGCACTTGTGGTTTTAGTTCCTGTAGATTGTTACATGTTTGTGCTCACTGTTTCCGGGCTCACGCAAAAACCATGTGTCCTAATAAAAGCTTTCCTAAACCGTACCCAACTTACATCAATGTCACGTTATTTGCTGTGCTGTTACAACACCACTCCTCACAACACTTGGTTAATTTTCTCACCAAAGGGTTGTTGAGGAGTTTCACACGGGTATCATAAACTTGCCATCACTGGAATGTAATAATCTACAAACAGCAATGACAGATGCAGAGTTAGTGAGTGATCTTATAAGAATTGAATTAGAACAGTGTTTTGTGTTAAGGCCATTTGTTTCCCCACCTTTCACTTCATGGAGAACTAACCCCATTGGGGTCGTCACGGGGAAAACTTCACATAAACCAAGAGTGATCATCGATTTATCAGCACCATATTCCTCCACTATCCCCAGCCTCAATTCCCTAATACCCTGCGATTAATTCTCTCTGCAATATGCCACTATTGACAATACCATCTGGACCATTTTGGCAGCTGGGACAGGAGCATGGCTCAGTAAAACGGATATTGTCAACACTTTCAAGTTACTTCCCATTCACCCTTCACTGTGGCATCTGCATGGCATTAAGTGGCAGGGTTTATTTTATTTCTTCTCCCGGCTCACTTCTGGCTCCAAGAGCAGCCCCAAAATATTCGATATCTTTGCTGAAACCTTCTGTTGGTTACTACTTAATGTGTGCAGATGTCCGACTGTAATTCACTATTTAGATGCCTTTCTCACAATTGAAAACAACTCATTACCCCCTAGCAGTGGTGTACTAAGGGGGGGGGGTGTGACTAGGGCGGTGCCATGATTTCCAGTGTCATGTGTCACCCCCATCATTACGCTGCGCACAGCCGCAGCACCTTTGCGGCCCGGCGCGACTTACTTCTATTATGAGGAGTATGAGGAGGAGGGGGAGGAGCGTTGCGGGCCGCGGCGTCGCGCAACGTGATGACGAAGTGCGCAACGCCGTCAGTCCGCCTTCACGGATCTTCAGCGGAAGGATCCATTTCCGGGCGGTGAGGCACCCAGTGGTCAGACTCGGAGGCAAGGAAGGCATCATCAAAATGTAAGTAGTTATTTTAAGTCTGGGGCTGAATTAATTAAAAGGGAGGCGGGGTGGATTAATTAAAGAATTAAAGGGGGGAGGTTTAATTAAAGGAGGATGGATTGATTAAAGGGGGGTGGATTCATTAAAGAATTAAAGGGGGAGGTTTAAATAAAGGGGGGTGGATTAATTAAAGAATTAAAGGGGAGGTTTAATTCCTAAAGGGTTTTTAATTAAAGGGGGTGTAAATAAAGGGGGTGGATTAATTAAGGGGGTGTATTAATTAAAGGAGGTGGATTAATTAAGGGGGGTGTGGATTAATTAAAGGGGGTGAGGATTAAAGAATTAAAGGGGGAGGTTTAACTAAAGGGGGGTGGATTAATTAAAGGGGGTGTGGATTAATTTAAGGGGTTTGGGATTAATTAAAGAGGTGGATTAATTAAAAGAGGGTGGATTAATTAAGGGGGTGGATTAATTAGGGGTGTGTGGATTAATTAAGGGGGTGGATTAATTAAAGGGGGGTGGATCTAATAAAGTAGGTGGATTTAATTAAAAGAATTCAAAGTTAGTGGAGGTTAATTAAAGGTGGATAAATTAGTGGGATCAGGGGGGTGGATTAATTAAAGGGTGTGTGGATTAATTAAAGGGGTGTGGATTAAGGGATGTGGATTAATTAAGGGGGGTGGATTAATTAAAGGAGGTTGGAGGTTTAATTAAAGGGGTGGATTAATTAAAGGGGGGTGGATTAATTAAAGAGGGTGGATTAATTAGAGGGGGTGGATTAATTAAAGAATTAAAGGAGGTGGAGGTTTAATTAAAGGGGGTGGGGGTTTAATTAAAGGGGGTGGATTAACTAAAGGGGGTAGATTAATTAAAGAGGGGATGGATTAATTAAAGGTGGTGTGGATTAATTAAAGGGGGTGTGGATTCATTAAAGGGGTGAGGATTAATTAAGGGGTGTGGATTAATTAAAGAGGGGTGGATTCATTAAAGAGGGCGGTGGATTAATTAATGGGGGTGTAGATTAAGGGGTGGATTAATTAAAGAGCGGGTGGATTAAAGGGGGGTGGATTATTTAAAGGGGTGGATTAAAGGGGGTGTGGATTAATTAAAGGGGGTGTGGATTAATTAAAGGGAGGGTGCAGCGCGGGGGAGGTTTATTTAAGGGGGGTAGGTTTAATTAAAGGGGAGTGCAGGTTTTTTTTTAATTAAGGGGGTTGAAGTATTTTATTAAGGGAGGATGTGCACTGCAGATTTTTGTTTTTTATTAAGGGGTGTGCAGGGTTTTTATTAAGGCGGTGTGCATATGTTTTGTTATTAGGGGGGTTGTGCAAGTTTTTGTTTTTTTATTAAGGGGGTGTGCAGGGTTTTTATTAAAGGGGTGTGTAGGGGTTTTTTTTATTAAGAGGGTTGTGCAGGGTTTTTATGTGTAGGGAGTGTATGAAATCTATGTGATCGGGGTGCAGGGTTTTTATTGAGGGGGTATGCAGGTTTTTTCTATTAAGGGGGTTGTGCATGGTTTTTATGTGTAGGGAGTGTATGAAATTTATGTGATCGGGGTGCAGAGTTTTTATGTCTAGGAAGTGTATGAAATTTATGTGATCAGTATGCAGGGTTTTTATATGAAGGGCAGGGGTTTTCTAGAAGGAGCGAGACCAGGGGCTTTGTAGAAAGGGGCACGGGAGGAGTTTTCTAGTAGTTTCTCACCAGCCTATTTCTACAAAAGCACTGGTCTTCCCCCTTCTACAAAACTGGCGCATATATACAAAACCTCCGCCCTGGCCCCCTTCTACAAAACCTCTGCCCTAGCCGCTACATCTTTTGAACCCAAATCCCTTTCCTATGCTATTTCTAAGGATCAGCTCAATGAAATGGTCTGGGTGCCAGGTCCCTCTAGTTTTAACCCTGCAGCTGAAAACATATGTTTCACTGAGGGTTAATCCAGCCTCTACTGGCTGTCTCACTGACAGCCGCTAGAGGCGCTTCCGCAATTCTCACTGTAAAACTCACCATGAGAAGATGCTGGACGTCCAGCCCGGCGCTGGATTAAGGTAAGTGGCTGAAGGGTTTTTAACCCCTTAAAACCCATTCAGCCACTTACCTTTCTCCAGCCACTAGAAACTGGAGGCTGGATTAACCCTCAGTGAAACACATGTTTTCAGCTGCAGGGTTAAAACTAGAGAAGACCATGAGAAGACTCTGGACGTCGATAGGAAAGCATTGAGTAATGCTTTCCTATGGGCAGTTTGAATGCACACGCGGCTCTTGCCGCGCATTTGGATCTGACGTCGGCAGGGGGAGGAGAGGTCACCAGCGCCGAGGGAGCCCGACGCTGGAGAAAGGTAAGTAGCTGAATGAGTTTTAAGGGGTTAAAACCCCTTCAGCCACTTACCTTAATCCAGCGCCGGGCTCCCTCGGCGCTGGTGACCACTTCTCCCTCGCCGACGTCAGCTCCCGAGTGGAGCCGAATGCACATGCGTGGTAAGAGGCGCACACGCATTCAAACAGTCCATAGGAAAGCATTTCTCAATGCTTTCCTATGGACGTTCTGCAAGCTGGATGCAATTTTTGCATCCAGCATCGCAGAAGCGCCTCTAGCGGCTGTCAGGAAGACAGCCACTAGAGTTTGGATTAACCCTGCTATGTAAACATAGCAGTTTCTCTGAAACTGCTATGTTTACATCTGGAGGGTTAAAATCTGGGGGACCTGGCACCCAGACCGCTTCATTGAGCTGAAGTGGTCTGGGTGACTATAGTGTCCCTTTAAATACTTTGGGTTGTCTACTTTTACAATGGTATGCCAAGATGGGAAATATAAGATGGATATTGCACTAGCGAACCCTAGAACCAAAATAGATTTAGGATTTTTCTGCAGAAAACACCAATATGAAGCGAAATCGACCAAGCGGGTCTCAGCAATGAAAATTAAGAAGGCAAGAGAAAAATCAGCGATGTCTGGATCAATTTTAAAATATGTTGCACCTTCAACATCTACCGCAGTAGGAAAAAGTGCTGAAGACATTCAGTCTGTTGAATCCAGAGGTGAAATGCCTGAAGTATCTTCTCAAGAAGCTTCATATGTAAAAGCACAAGAATTGGAAGATCATTTTATTGATGTAGACGAAGGAGATGCCAGCAGAAGCCTGCATCAGCAAGACTCTGATGATGATGATGAAGAAGAAGAGGAGACTGTTCGACTGTCAGTTTATTCTGATGTTGCTGCTTGGCAAGTTCCAGTTCCAGATGTTTTAAGAGTGGACCTTATTAAGAGGGGAAGTGAACCTTTCCAAAATAGAGATGGGCCATTTAGTCCTGTTGAAAGGCAAGGAGAGAAATCAAAAGGGAAGAGTCAACAGCTGACCACTGCATGGTTCTATAAGGCTCTGCCTAATGGTGAAAAAATTCATAGAACGTGGATGGTGTACTCTCCATCAAAACAAAGTTTGTTTTGCTTTTGCTGCAGACTTTTTGCTGTTGATGACAAAGTAACAGGGACATCTAGTTTTGTTACTGGGTTTCAATTGTGGTGGAAGCTGAACCCAAAGGTGTCTGATCATGAGGCTTCTGAGCAGCATCTTACATGCTTGGAGAAATGGAAGCTACAAAAATGCCTTGATCATGTCCATCAAACAACAGTGGACCGAGAGAAAAGGAAATGGAGGGATATTTTGCATCGCCTTTTGGATGTAACTATGTTTCTGGCTTACCAGAACCTTCCCTTTCGTGGTCAGAGAGAGACCATGTCATCCACAAACAAAGGCAACTTCCTGGAATTGGTAGAATTGCTCTCAAACTATGATCCCATTTTAAAGGAACATTTCATGAGGCTGAAACATGCTGTTGCTCTTGCATCTGGAAAGAGAATGACTTCCTATTTCTCTCCAAATTAATTTGTCTTTTGGGAAATCATGTGAAGGACACAATAGTGGCTGATATCAAAAAAGCAAAGTACTTTGGGATTCTTTTTGACAGCACCCCTGATGTGTCCCACACTGATCAGATGTGTGAAGTGATCAGATATGTTCATATTGAAGGGGACAATGTTGAAGTAAAGGAACCATTCTTGGGCTTCTTTCCTGTTGCTGAAAAGACTGCTGCTGAGCTCACAGAAAATATCCTGCAACATCTAGAGGAAGATGGACTAGACATAAGCCTTTGCCGTGGTCAAGGATATGATAATGCTACAACTATGGCAGGGATTCATGGTGGTCAGGCAAAAATAAAAGAGTTTAATCCCAAGGCTTTGTTTATGCCATGTGCAAACCATTCCCTGAACCTATGTGGGGTGCACTCATTTGGAAGTGTTGTTTCCTGTGTGACTTTTTTTGGAACATTGGAGAGAGTGTATTCCTTTTTTTCGGTTTCTACACATCGTTGTGAATTGCTGATGGAGAATTTAGGTGTGACAGTGAAAAAAATCTGATGCTGTGAAGCCAGTGAGGGCAAATTGAAAAACTGACTTCAGCCCTTGAAAAATTGTGTAATCCCAAAGAAAATGTGGACACAAGAGGATCGGCTCAGATGTTGCTGTCTGCCGTATGTGATTTTTCTTTTTTTGTGTTACCTTTCTTTCTGGTGTGAAGTTCTAGAAGAAGTTAATATCACACAGAAATATTTTTCAACAGTGGGACTCACTCTTGAAAAGTGCATTGTGAAACTACAAGGTTTGAAAGCGTTTCTAGCAGATCAGCGCAGTGAAATTGTGGAGAAGGCCACACTCAGGGTCCACCCCGGGTGCCAAATGCTCTAGGTACGCCCCTGCCCCCTAGCAGCCTTAAACACATGTTGGATCTTGCAACCAGAACTTCAATCTCTGCTGGGGTTGCTCAATTTTGCCATGAGGATTATTCCACAGGGTAGATCTTTCATTTCCCACCTACTTTCTTTGTTCCCGAAACTCACCTCAGAATCATGCATCACATTAGACACTCACGCAACAGCTAACTTACTCATGTGGGCATTTTTCTTCACATCTTGAAATGGGCAAACCATCTTCATCCACCCTCTTTCTGACAATTCACCTACACTCTAGACAGATACTGCGGCCAATACTGGCTTTGCAGCCATCTGTGGAAATCAATGGCTTTTAAAGAAGTTACGTCCCTACCTAGCTTCTCCACTACATCGGCCATGTTTGAATTATACCCAATTGTGGCCGCTGCTGTTGCCTGGGGGCCGGACTGGGCCGGTATCTCAGTCAAATGTTTTTCTGATAACCTAGCTACTTGTCACATTGTTATTAAAGGCCGGTCATCATCTTTAGTAATTATTAGATTTTTAAGGAAACTCACATGGGTATCATGTGCATTCATTTTACTGGTGTCACAAATATATCAGCTGATCTCTTGTCTCGGTTTCGATTTCAGGCTTTCCTCCAGACTCTGCCCACCGCTTCCTAGCTGGCTGACCCTGCCCCGTCATCCAAGACATGCTCCTGGATTAAATGTCTTATTGATTCATGCACGCAACATTTCCCACCTTTCACCTTGCAGTTAACTCTAGGAAAACATACGATAGGGCCTTTCACATTTTCACGAAGTTTATAGCGGAATTTCAAGTTCAGGACATGTTTGCTTTGGAATCTATATTGGGGTTTACTTCTTTTTGCCACCTTAACTTAAAATTATCTTTTGACATGATCAAACTTTATCTTACTGGCATCCAACACCACATATGTAACAAAACCCCTCTGTGATTGCAGTAGTTGTGGTGCTTTTGTTCAACCCTACAGTGGTTATAGTGTGAGTCTCCTTTCTAATGTTTTATTGCAACAAAGGACACATCCCTGGCTTTCATTTCCCCTTGTCATTGCTGGATTTTATATGCCTCCTGATGTGTTCATTAATTGGTCCGGTAAAATAAGACTTTATTTCAAACAGAAAAACAAAAAGTAAGGCTGCGCCAAAAGAGTAATAAAAACAAGTCCAGATAAAAAAGATGTCCCAATAATGGATGATGTCTTTAACTGGTATGGTGTCTTCTTTAACAATGGTCGTCCGTCTCACGATATGGAAGACACAATGAGAAAGAGCCAATTGTGCAGAGTGTATAAATTAGTAATTATAAAATAAAATATAAATTACACACTCACATTTCCATGAGCTAGGACCAGCTCTAGTATGATGGGCACACGGCGGATAACCCTCCGCTTATGGGGGTGCTTGTCCTCTTGGAGAGTCCTGGTGTTCAATTCTCAAGGAAAGAAGATTAAAACAGCCAATAGTGCTCTCTGGTGAGGTAGTTGTTTAGAGAAGATAAAAATAAATAAAATATACTCACAAGTAGAGTGCAGGTCAATCTGCACTCTATTATTCGCGTGGGTGGTATGATCCCCACCTTAGGATATGCCAGGAACAATAAATAAAGTAATAAAATAGATAATAGATAATAAATATAAAATAATTTATTAGTACAATATATTAAAAACCAATAACGCGTTTCGCCGAGAGGCTTTATCAAATTGGAATTCAACCTTCAGCTAAATTCACACGAACAGAGTGTTTTTCAGTGAGAACAATCTACCGAACGAGATGCAGACCTTCTTACCCTCAACTCGGTTCTGTTCGTGCAAATTGTACATTATTTGAATGAGAAGATAGACCAGCCGGACAGCCTAATTCTCTGGAACTCTTTTGGGCATGAAATCAAGCGTGCGGTCGGTCAAATGTGACTTCCACAAAATTCGGGAACCCTGCTCTGATCTGGGTGATTTTTGGATATGTTGTTCGTCCAGATCAGAGCTATCCAGGGACGTATAATTTATGGGGATATGTTTGAGATTGTGGGTGTTTCTGAACTTTGGGTAAAAATTGGTATTTTCTGTCTGTGGATAATTAAGTTATTTCATTAGCTATCTTAATTATATCACAGGCAGAGGGGAGGGCTTGCTGACTGTATGTGGGAGTGTTACTGTGATAATTATTGTTCCCATTGGTTTGTGTCCTTTTTGTCCCTGTGTTCCCTCAGGTCCAGGGGGTGTGCCTCTGGCCTGAAAATGTGCTCAATAAACCAGACCTTCATACCCTCAACTCACAGCCTTGTCTCGTGTTGTAGGGAACAGCTATAATTGCTATATCACTGCTAGCTCTCTTCAGCTATACTAGCTCTTCAGGATATCGGTTTGGAGCTCTGCAGAGCTCTCCATCTATGGGAAGTAGGATGTCCAGGCGGTAGATACCCTCACTCTATAGGGGTAACCGTCACAACATGCTATTACAACATCTTAATAAAATAGGATTCCTTTAATCATACCAGATAAAAACCTTACTGAAGGGAATCCAAAAGATAGATACACATCTACCACCTCAAAGACTACCCATCCACAACAAAATATTCTAACCATTATCCGATTTGTTAGATGCAGCTGCTTTCGAACATATAACCAATATGGCAATTAAAACAGCCATCTATCTAGTTGTTTATGGATTTTTACGTCCAAAGGAATTCACCACCAGTAATGTAACGGCCACAGACTACATTAAAATAGCCGATATCAACAAGTCCTTAGATCATTACATACTGTCACTTCAGCACTCTAAAACTAGCCAGATGGGGCACACAGTCAACACACCTCTTTTCCCTACCTATAATAAATGGTGCCCCATTAAGGTTTTGGACACCTATTTTAACAATTTCCATAAACAACCACACCAACCACTACTAGAACTACCCGGCTTGATTCTCACTACTGCTAAATTTATGCTCTATGTCTGTCTGTTGTTAACTAGACTCGGCCTAAATGCAAACCATTTCTCAGGACATTCATTCCGCATAGGGGCGGCATCATCCACTTCCTCCAACCACATTCCAGCTCATATAATCAAAACTATGGGATGCTGGAAATCTTCTGCTTATACTCTATACATACCAAACCCAGTTACGGCAAGATTTTTGTGATTTGTCCAAATAATTGATGTTTTGTAATATGAATAAATTTTATATAGTACACTTCTTTTTGCCCTCTTTATTACAGGCCTTCTGCATTATCGGTTCCGGCACACCACAACCGACTGGTGTTATTTTAACTATGTTTGTTGGTTACAAATTATATGTTATGTTACCTTACCATCACTGCAATATTGCACCGACTACAAATTTAAGGCTGGGCCTGTAGTTGTGGGAGGGGCTTGAATTCTCTTTAACCACTTAAGGACCAAACTTCTGGAATAAAAGGGAATCATGACATGTCATGTGTCCTTAAGGGGTTAAAAGGGCTGTCAATCCTCTCCCAGGGCTTGATCTCCATCAGGGCAGACTGACAGGAGGGGCCTCGCACCCGGCGGCATTGTGGGCAAGCCGCTGGGGCCTCTGTGTCATAGACCGAGGACCCGACATGTTAGTCTGCCCTAAGGTAGTACAGCACGGAGGCGTGATTAGGGTGTGCCCAGGCACATCCCGTGCGCACACGCCTATGATTACACTTTCAGTATTAAGGGTGATGGGAGTTGGCACCCAGGCCACTCCAATGGGCAGAAGTGGGTGCCTGGTGTGTCCCTTTAAAAACATTGAATGTGAGGGAACATTTTTTTGAAAAAACAAGGAATTATAAATGTATATAGTTTTAGCTTTTTTTAGGTGATGAAAGGCTAGTGTGTACTTCAATGGCCTTGACAGTGACAGGTATTTATATACCTAGGAATTCCTCATACAAAAAAAACATATTTCTTGTGTTATAGGTAGTGATGTCGCGAAGATAAAATTTTCAGTTCGCAAATGGCGAACGCGAACTTCCGCAAATGTTTGCGAACGGGCAAACCGGGCAAACCGCCATAGACTTCAAAAGGCAGGCGAATTTTAAAACCCACAGGGACTCTTTCTGGCCACAATAGTGATGGAAAAGTTGTTTCAAGGGGACTAACACCGGGACTGTGGCATGCCGGAGGGGGATCCA